TTCTTACAGTTCTAAATCGATAAATTTTCGATTCTATTTGTTTTTACAATAATGAAAGTGGTTCAACTGTGTTTCAAAATACTCATGTGTTTTATTTTTTCCTGTCATATTAAACACCAAGTGCAAACAGTTTAAACTTGAGATGTGAACAAAACATGCAAACTTGGTTGTGAAAAGGGAAAAAGTGAAGCCTCACTTGAGCAAGCAGACGTGACACAGTGGAGACACAGCAGACATGCATGAGCTGTATTATCTTCACTGTACAAACCATATGTGCAGCGTTGTCTGTAACAACTACAGGGTGTTTGCTGGTCAGCCCCCATTTGTTAATGTCTTCAGTCAACCTATTTGCTGTATTTGCAGCTGTCTTGCTTGAAGTCATCTTGACAGCATCTTTCCTGCTCATTTGAATGTGAACGTCACACGCGTCACTATAAAATGAATTGATCTCATTTCCTAGACATCGATTTTGCAAAAATGTAAAGGAATCGATTCAAAATCGATTAAATCGTTTTTTTTTTACCAGCCCTATTTCCGACACCTTTTAGTTAGTTAGTTCAACCCCTAACTCAATGCTCTCTTTGCTTTTTCTCTTCACAGTACCTTCATCTGATCTGTTCCTGTTTGGCTGTGACACCATCCTGCAGAGAAATATCAGCTGGGCTGCTACCATCAACACCTTTGAAAAGCAGGTGAGTGAATATAAAACATAAACAAAAGGGTGAAAAAATGAATCACATGCATAATCAGGCTTTGCATTAAGATACAAAGTTGATGCCAGCAAATTCCCCGTAAAACAGTTTATCACCACCTGCATTCTTAACTAATTAAGTAACAGAAGCTTTTTCCATGTTAAACGTAAGCAGCGAACAATATAAATATGACAACACAAAGAATTGCTGTTAGCTTGGTATAGATGAAAAACTAGTAGCTCTTGTTCAGCGACTTGTGAACAAGTAGTTCACAAGAGGTTTTGTTTTCCAAGATTCCCCTTGGCTTTGAAAATATTAATAACTGAGATCAACCCTCTAAATACTTCGGGTAATGAGTGTCTAGCTTTCATATTCACCACTGACAACATTCAGCCATTTATGTTTTTTCTTTATTTACAAAATTCGCAAGTCTGCTATACCTTCCTAAATGCTGCAGATGTTGTCACGGTCCTACAGAGAAGTGTTTCCTAACCCTGTTCCTCAGGAATTATAAAAAATAAGTTACACAAATTACCAATTAGATATATTTGTAATTTTAAGACGAAAGTATGAGAAATATAAACAAAGGTGTCCTCATTCTAAAAGTCACTGTAAATCCTAGAATATATTATCGGCAACAAGAACCCAAAATAAATCTAGTGTTGCTCAAAAATGTAATTTTACATCGGTTGCAAGTACGACTAAATAATTCCAGGCTCAGTCTATTCAGGTTTTTAATTATAGGTGGAAGTCCCTCTCTTCTGCTGAGACAATCTGGATAAATAGCTGCTCATTCACTTTTTTTTTTTTTTCCCAGCGTTTTATTGTCATTATACTGTCACAAGTACAGAGCAAAGAAATTACCTCTCTGCATTTAACCCATCCCCTTGGGGAGCAGTGGGCTGCCATTTTGCGGTATCCAGGGAGCAATGTGGGGATTAAGGGTCTTGCTCAGGGACCCAGAGTGGAAGTCTGTAGGAGTGAGGCTTGAACTTGCACAAGTTTGCACACAAGTTTCTTTTAGGACAAGAGAAAATGCCTCTGGCCAGCAACCTTTGTACTTAAAAATAAAAAAAACAGAAGCAGAAAAACGCAAGATTGTGTGGTTTGGTTGATTATCCAAGAAAAATAAGGTTGAAGATTAAAGTTCCTTTATGTATTTTTCTATTGTTACTGTTTTAAGGTCAAGATGCCAAGTTTAAGATTAGCTTTGCCCAGCAACGTCGCAACGTCTCATTGGGTCAGTGTACTAGTTTGCACATTACAGGGAGATATAAACACTGCTTCTAACTTGCAAAAATGTCAAAAGAAAAAAGAAATAAGCTTTAAAGAAAGATGAAATAGGTGTGGCACATTAAACAGTTAAATAAATCCTGTTTCCTTGCTATCATGTTAACCCTTAAAAACATTATTTTTCAACAAATGACTGGATAACAGCTCAGTGGTAATCATTGTAGCAATAAAACCTGTTTTTCAAGCTTGTCAACCTTTTGTTCTCCATAACAAAAATAAAATAAAAAACAAAATAAAAAATCAGATGTTCTGGAGGAAGGGGAACTGGGTGCAACAGGATTCAGTCTGCTTTACTGACCTAACATAACAAGACAACCTTTGTCTGAGAAAATGAATAGTTACAACCAATGCAGCGAAAACAAATACAAACAGGATATGAAAAGAAGCCGAAGATCTTCAGAAACTGTGGAGAACAACAAGCTCCTAACCAGATTTACATAGAACTGTAGCTCCAGGAAATGCAACAGAAGAGAGGATAAAACATATATATTGAACAGGTGTTATTTTCTAGTAGCTAGAATCTATAAAAAGTCATTTTTCTGTCATGCGTTTTTGAACGTATTAGACATTTGAATATCAGGGAACCAAAAAAAAGGTATCAGACAGGCTCAGAGTGAGCTGAGTTTGCAGAGGATATAGCATGAGGCTTTCAATCCTCAAATCTCTATTTCTATCTTTACTTTAGAAGAACAATATTGGTAGCTTGTGTGAAACCCTCACAATGTAATTAAATTGAGACAAAGAGAGGAAAGTGGTTTTACTTTTTATTAAAAAGATAAACCTAGTAACCCTATGAGTTACTTCTATACATGCACACACACACACGTACTCATTCTGCCATCGTAGTGAGGACAATGTGTTGACTCCCATTGATTTTCAGTCATATTCAACCCCTTCTATGCCCTAACCCTAAAACTAACCCTAAACCTAATCATTACCAATGTATACCTCACCCTAACCAATTGATACCTTAGCCCTAAACCTAACCATTAACAAAATTGTATGTGAGGACCAGCAAAATGTCCTCACTTTGCAAAAACTGGTCCTCAATTTGAGGGTGAAATTGGAAAAATGGTCCTCACTCTGAGGGCTAGACAGGTAAACACACATATATACATACATATGTATATATATATATATATATATATATATATATATATATATATATATATATATATATATATATATATATACACACACACACACACACACACACACACACACACACATACATACATACATACATACACACATACATACATACATACATACATACATACATACATACATACATACATACATACATACATATATTACAGCGATAACCCTTTGACGCAAGAGCTACTGGTACTATGATTTTCATATAATCATGTAATCATAGAAATGAGCTCTAATGCATTCCAAAAATTACATAGAATCAAATATTATAACATAGACCTGTGATAAGACTACATGTGTCTTTCAGTTAGCTCTGCAGGCCAAATTGTTGTACAATCTCCTTGACCTTTACTGGTCTAGGTAAAGCCTGTCCTTAGGCTTACATCAGGCTAGATTTCTTCCACACTCCCTCTTTCTCTCCTTTAAACATGCAGAGATACACACAGTCAGACACCTACAGACACACCATGTGGGAGCTCACAAACGCCTTGTACCAAGAGCAGTGGCTAACGGCAGCTTTCCTCTCAGGTCTGTAAGACTGCAGGAGAATTTTTCTCTGTTGAAATATAAGCCGCCCACTAAATTTAGGCACAGGTACGATTTAATGCAGTTTGTGGTCTTCATGCGTTAAGGGCATAAACAAATATATTAAGTTTCTGTATCTGTTTAGGGAACCGGTGAAAAAAAGTTTTATCTGCAAATGGCTGATTTTGTGAGTCAAATGTCAGATTAGAATTCCAGCCTTATGTAAACAAAGTGAATTTAAATGATAACAGGGAATTAATTCAAGACCAAGCTTGAATAATTTTTGTCAATATTCTATGAATCAAACCATGTCTTCAAAGCCAGTAGATCAAAAAGGCATAGTTAATACATACAGTGGTGCTGTCAAAGTGCAAGTGATTTGTTTCTGGAATGCAAATCCCTCAGTGTTCTAACCGGAGAGAGGAAGACAAGTGGGACTGTGGTGTGAAGCAAGCGTTTGATTGGATGCAGACAAAACAGCCCACACAGATCAGCTATAGGTGTACAATACTACTTTCCTTTATACCACCCAATATGTAGCAGGGAAACATGGAATTTGATTTTAATCTAAATTCGACGTTGACATTTTGCAGCCAAACAGACACTTAAACATCAGCCCCCCCCCAGACACAAAACAGGACTCTACATAGGCTGTTTCTTTCAGTAGAAAAACTGCGTCATCCGGCATAAAACGCTAAGCGACATTGTAAGCCAATGTCTTCTTTTTCAACATGCTCAACCAAGAGGAGTGCATTCTGCAAAGTCAAGGAGTTGGTGTGATCTGATGGGTTTTATTAGCTACAAAACTTTAAACTAATCTGTCTGTATCATTTGACTGAATTGACTGTAAAAACCCTTGAGGTGTGGTAATGTAGTATAGACGCTATATAAATAAACTGAGCTCATTTCATCTATTTATTTTGGTGTCTCCTTATGTTTCTATAAATGAGGTGCAATTTCTTGACAATTACATTTTTTCCCATGATGGACCTTCGATGCACTATTAACCAGAGATATACACTTTCAACCATGAATTAAACCAGTGGAAACACAAAACTATAGACTCATTTATACAATCTAAGGAGTATAGTTGTGCTAATTACTATCTTGAAAACAAAAGCTATTAATTTTGCACACACTGGGTATGCTATGTTCTTTGCTCCTCATGTCAGACCATGAATTGGTCATTGTCAGACAATGAATTTCATCATAGCACTTGCTACTCACAATCCAGCCTGGTTTTAACATAAAGAGAAATTCAATTTATCCTCAGTTCTGCAATTTTGATAAAAAGAAGTTTATGTTTTGATAGGTTGCTTTAGAGAACAGTACCTGAGGGCAGCAGGCAGTCCAAAGGTGTCCACTCTTCATCCATAGTCAGAGTGGGTAAAAGCCAAGTCTTCAGTTAGCCAGGCAAGTTGAAACTACAGGAGAAAAAAAGCAGATATGGTTTTCATGCCCTGGCTTTAAATAAAAAAAAGAAACCCCTTTTATTTCTGTTATTTCAAACATGTCTTTATTTATATTTATAGTTTATTCACTTCCTCCAATTGGTCCATCTAATCCCAGGTAAAAAAAATAAAATAAAAGTAACAATGTTTCTGCTGCAAATATTATTTCATAACAATGCATTTTTGTCATTATTAAATGCATTTTTCTTTGTAAGACTAATGCCAAGTGGAACACACATATTCAAAGAAAACCTCTGCCTTTGGGATTAATGAAGTCAAATATGTTTTCATAAGGCCAAAAGTGCCTTTTACAGATTTTTAAGAAATATCTTCTACACAATTTTGAGAAGATAAGAGCAACTTGCCAAGTAATTGAATCTCTAAAAAAAAAAAAAAAAAAAAAAAAAACTTGTCATTGTCTTAGAATGTAACTTAATTGCCTTAACTTGATCAAAGTTGATGTTAGAAACAAAGACTTTGGTATTTGTTCTAAAAGGATAGAGGAAATGATGATCAGAAATTTTATGGACATTCTTACTCAATAACTTTAATGGACAGTGGTGCACCATCCAGACTACATATGTTTCAGGAGTCTGTATTCCTAATCCAGGGAATAATGTAGACACTGAAGAAAAGTTGTCAAAGAATGGAGCCTTAAAGAAGCTCCTATTTCACTTGTGTTTTTCCAAATGGCAAAAAGGAGTCTCAGTCACCCAGTTATTATCAGAACCAGCACATAATGTTAATTTAAGATCCTGAATCTGCCTGAAGATCTTCATGTAAAAAACTGCATTTATCACTCTTCTCATATTTTTTATATTTCTTTTTCCCATTACATGTACACTCTGATCTAATAGAAAGCACCAAATAATATAATTAAACTGTACTTTTTGGGGTTGCCTCCAAAGGATTTTATGAACTCATTGTAGTTACAAATAGTATAATGATGACAGTTATTTAAAAGGACCACAAACTGCCATTCCGTACTTGCTTTCATATAACATACAAGCAAATTATGGAGTGAATTTAAATTTGCTTAATCAACCTTGCCTTTTCAAACAATTGTGACACTAACTTTTCTATCTTAGCTCATAAAGAAGAGCAAAGCAATGTTTAAAACACACAATGGTTATGAAGATTTACAAATCAGAGTAATAATCCAACATTACTTGAACTTTGAACAAGGTTTAACAAGATGTTACATTTTTTTTTAAATACTGTTACCCCCCCACCTTCCCATACACACATCAAAACAAAGCAGTTGACACTTATTAGCAATAACTGAACCATAAGATGTATGAAAAATGAGAGCTTTCAAATAACTATGCAGCTATATCACCAGCTTTTACTGCAATCTCTATAACTAGATGATCACAATAATTGCACAATAAAATTTTCCACTTCAGGAGTTCTTTGTAGAGCATATTAACAGACATTTAAAAAAAATAACTTAAATACAAAATATTTATGTATTTCTTTTGTTATAATTCCTGCTCTAAGTGGGTTCCTCTGTCATCTAAAGGCATGTTTTAGAGTCTATACTGCAGTTAACAATTAATCAAATACAAAATACCTTAACAGTTATTTCAACAATCAATTAATCATGATTAACCTGATTGGTTCAGCCATAATTTATTTAGTTTAATTTCTTTACAGACAATAAGATCTTTTTCAGTCAGTCTGGATATAAGTCTGACTTTCCTGGTTCAGGTCAATTATCATAAGCAGGTATTACCCCTTGCCTAACATCATAATACTATTAATTTATTTTATTTTTTTTGCTTTTTTCCATTTGTCAATTTCGAATTACTTTCCTTGAAGTCAGAAACTTACATATCCTTCATATTTGGTAGTTTAGCCTTTGAACAATAAAAAATGGGTAGGTTTTTGTTAACTAACCAAACGTCACATAATAGTTGGGATATTTCGAGGTCTATTTTTTAATAATAATAATAATAAAGAGGTATTACAGATGCATGGTTGTAGGCCACCTTGCTCACACAGTTCTGGATCTCTAACTATACAATTGAGGTCATAGGTTGTGATGTCAATTTGCGTTGTGTGAATTTGGATGTTCTATTTTTATTTTTTTAAATCTTGCTTCAACATTTGCACATGTTCTTTTTAATTATGCTATTTATTTAATGGAGTGCAGACATTCTTACAGCAGCAAAATACAGAGATGACCTGTACTTTAACAACTTGGATCGTGTTTTTTGGGTTTGAATGTTTTTCCTAAAACTTGTTTACCTATAACAAAAAATAATTTAATTTCATTGCAGTGAGATGAGTTCTTACACTGTGTGTGTGACTAAATTGTCCTATTCTCAATAATAATTAAACATGATACAAATATGTGCGATAGACTTAAAAAATATATATATACAAATTAACCTTAAGCAATTTAACCTTAAGCAATACCAGCTGATTTAATGTATCCTCTGAAGCTCTTTAAAGTCAAAAATTGCACGAGACTCTGTTCAATACATTTAAAAGGAAGCGGGAGATTTTCAACCCGGCTTCCACTTTCACCACATTCCGCATATAAACTCTATGACAGTCATACAGTCAGCTTCAAACAAATAATTTGGCGTCTCCACTAAAACATTCCAACTACAACAAGAAAGTTTTCACTTCCAAAAATATATTACAATCTAGAGACAACTTACAGGATGAAGACACTTCCGGGTTTAATGTTAAGAGTCAACAAATGCACGACCGGGAGACAGAGAAGGACCGAGCAGGAAGGAGGAGAAGCTTTAGTGCGCTATGGGGACATCTAGAGGCCGAATGTATTAACACAGTATAAAACCCCCAGAGGCAAGGGGAGTTCAATTGCTTTACTGCTCAGAACACTTGATTCTGTAAGAACATTTTGTTCTGTTCTAACATCTATCTACTCCTTTATTAAAATAAACACTAAAATAAATATATTAAAACATGTAACATGTTAAAATGTGTCTAAGCCAATTAAACAAAGCTGTATAAATGTCAGTGACCCACACATGAGGGGATTTAATTGAAGGAGGGCTATTTTATGTGCATTTCTAATTGAGTGTAATGGTGCGTTACAGTCAGACAATTAGCTGCTTCATTGATTATCCTATAGAGGGAGATCTGTATGTCCTGTCTTGTGTAAAACAAGGTGGATAAACCAGCAATAGTTTCCTGCTCTCTTAAAGGTGAGATTGAATTGTCTTAGAAGAGCAACATGTTTTTATAAGTATCTACAACTTCCCAGTGAAGTGGCATTGATTTCTAATGGTCCCTGAAGAGCAAGCGATGCTTCGTAGGACATCGAACTCTTAAGATCACATGTTTGTTTGTTTGTTTTTGCATAGTGTGTTTTCATTGATTTATAAGGCTCTGTGGTTACTTTTCAAGATATGGGGACGGGATGTTTTGGCATGCTGAAATAGTTTATAGTTAAACATTAAACATTGCTGCAAATAAGCATACTGTAACTGAAAACACACACTGGAAAACTACCATTACAAAAATGCACACTCACACAGACTGCATACTGGATGTGTCTGTGTGCTTCTGATTTCCTCCAACAGCAGTAGAAGCACTGTACAGTGAGAGAGCGCATCTATCTCAAGGTGAATCCACTCCGGAGGGCCGTTAAAACAAACGCTCTCTCATCAATCAGCATTCTCCTGTCTCTCTGACACGCTGCTCAACTGCACGTTTGATGCAAGCTCCACAACACACAACAGCAGGCTGCGCACACATGCGCAGAGCTGCCACGCATGCTAAAGGAAGTCATTCATTCTGAGGGCATGCATTATAAATACATCTATGAATAAATTCCAAGCTGAGTGCATTCTTCATTGGCAGTTTTTTTTCATACCCCCCAACACACACGAACACACACATCTCTGAATGTTTTATCAGATCTCGCTTTCCTCGTTACAGCTATCAAACTACATCCCCCTTTCTTAACCATTAACCCCTCTAATATTTGCTCTTGTTATTTTCATTTTTGCTTCCTTTACGCTTTTTCGTCTTTAGATCTGTTTATCATCTTTTTGTAAATCTCTAACACTGTTGGGATTCTTCAGTCTTCAGTTCCCCCAGTCTATTCTTATTGTGGTTTCAAATGCATTATATTTTAACCTAAGTATTTGGAAAGGCTAACAGAAGAGAATAAAAAGGACGAAACACAAAGGAGAGAAATACGATAACGGATAACTGCTTTTTTGTGGAAGGTAGAGGATCACTGTCAAGTGGTGAACAAGTCAAACATTAAACAAATTATCAATTGTTTGGTTAGGGATATAAAAAATATAACCCCTTAGATAACTTTTTTTGGATTATTAATGTAGGTCCAAGAGTTACAGATCAGATCAAATTAAAATAAATTCAAAAAATGAAGGGTAATTGTAAAACATCGAATGTAATACTGGTGTTATAGAATTATAGTTTCTTATTAAGTCAGACAGTGTAAACATCATTAAAGTTCAGTGAAGAGCTGGAGTGGGATAATACAGAATACATTGACATTCAAAATAAAGTAAATACATTCCATCTTGACTTTCATCTTGAGATGCCTTCCAGCTTCAAGCATGCAGGGCAATCACTCAAAAGAATAAGTATTCCATGTTTAAATTGTGTTAATGGTGTTAATGAAAAAGTCCTTCTAATCAAAACAATTATTCTGACAAACATGACTATGCGTAAATCAGACTTACCTACTAAAAACCCAAGCAGGAACAGAGAGAAAAAATACATACATCATGAAGAGTTGGTGTATCTATGACAAGTCACATCAAACCTTTTTGATGCAAGGAAATAGTGCTAACAAAAAAGTTCTTCTCAGCATTAAAAAGAAGAAATTCAAAAACTGTAAAATGTTAATGCATCATGAAAAGTTTTACAGTTCACTAAGTATACACTGGGGATCTGTTGGCCTAGTGGTCAGAGCAGCATGCTTGTGCTCCGAGAAGGTTGCAACTACCCGGTTCCATCCCCACAGCTGGCACTCTGGGTCTCTGTGCAAGACCCTCAAACCTCACACTGCTCCCTGGATGCTGCACAGTGGCAGCCCACTGCTACCCAAAGAGGATGGGTTAAATGCAGAGAGTATATTTCATCATTGTGAGCTCAATAAAGTTCAATTTCTTTCTTTACAGGAAAATAAAATGAAGTAACACTCAGCAGGTATAGTGAAAAAAAAATTCTTTCAAGATGAACTATGTATACTATTGGATCTAAAAATGTCATGTATTTTATCACAGAACAATAGTACTTTTTATAACCATACAAGCAGTTAGCTAAAGTTTCATTCTATATTAATTGGTTAATGGCAGTATGTGTTTATTGGCTTGTTTCATGCTAAGATTAAAGTTGCCCTGTGGCCTGATTTAAGGCCGGGGGGGTTCTCTGACTGCAGCAATCAAGCCTTCTTAGCATCCCTGATAGATTGTGCTCCTCTCTGGGATTCCATTGTTCTGCTGGGTTACTTTAACACCCATGCTGGAAATGACAGTGACACTTGGAATGGCGTTACCAGAATATAAGAGGTTTTTAAATACTCCATACTTTGTTCAAGCATGAGGATGGCCATGTGGATGGCCATCAGGCATCAAGGCACCCTAAGCCAGATGTTGATGATACTCTTTGTAATTTTACCTCTGACCTTTGGTCGCCTCTTGTACACTCGAGTAAAGAGAGGGATGGGGCTGTCCACTAAAAGTTTCCTGACAATGAGTTAGATACATTGGAAGAGGAGGAAGCTTCACAGGCTTGCCACCCCGAACAACCCAGTCTCATGGGAAAATGTACCCCCACTACGTTGGTCCACACTGCAAAACGTAGTGGAGGTACATTAATGGCCATTTTTTTGTGGTACTGTTACGTTTCTTCTACCTATACGCTTTCTATTGTTTTACGTCATAGTCACGTGACTTTCAAGATTCCAGCTGGGAGAAGAAAAAAAATAAATATATGGCCGACATTCGCTCATTTTTTTGTGGAAAGATTAATGACTTGAGTTTGTTTTTGCATTAAAATGAGTTTTGATTACATTTCTAGTGAGAAATGTATAGTTTGTTGCCAGAATATTTACTCAGGGAATGTACATATTCACTTGCTTGTTCGTTTCTTGCAAAGATTTTTCAAGATAATGTGAAACTGTAACATTTTGGTATAAACATGGCTGAGATTTCTCTAACTTTTAGTGGTAAAATCAATAATTTCAATCAGTTTCTGCATTTAAATGGGTTTTTGATTACATTTATAGCGAGAAGTGTAGGGTTTATTTACATAATATTTCCTTAGTGAACATACATAATCACCCGCTTGCTAGTTTTTGCTACGGTATTTCGGATCTCGTCAGGATTATGTGAAATTGCAACGTTTAGGCTGCTACCCATCGCCTAGCATTTAGCTGCCGCCCCGATTCAACATTGAATTCTTTGTGATTTAACTCCATCTGACGGATCAAACCCTCGCCACTGCGGCGTTGCGTCTGAGGTTGATTTTCAGATCAATGCATTACGTCGTGGCATACGGGAGAAACTAATTAAACTAGTTAAAAAAAGGATCATGGGTTAAGATCGGATGTGTTTTATTTGGAAATTACCGGATCCTTTGTGCATTTCA